GCTCTTACCGGCGCTCTCCTGCCGCCGCTTCGCACCGCTCGTCCCGTGTGAGCCCGCAGCTTCCCCACCGCCGCTATTTATGCAGGAGGGGCAGTTCCCGCAGGAGATAAGCCGGCGCTGCAGCCCAAGAAATCGCTCCCCGGCGCGGGGCGATGTGGCGCGTAGAGTTCAAGGATCGCGCACACGGCCCGGGAGAGCGCGCCAAGGAGCGCCGGTTTGGCAGAGCCTCGAGCAAACAGGAGCTCCCCGGGGATGCGGCGTTGGCCAAGGAGATGTTTACGCTGCGGGTGACCCAGATTCCGAGCCCCTTCGAGGCCCCTCGCAGCCCCCGGGGGTCGGCACGGAGCCCGGGCACCGGGTTTATACCCGCAGGGATTTGGCTGCCCGGACCCCAAACCCTCGTTCTCCTCCCGTCGCCGCCGTGGGTCCCCACCGCATCCTTCGTCGGGACGGAGACCACCCCCCTTCTCCCCCTGCCCCCCCGCTGCTCCCACCTCTCCCGCGTCCCGCCGGGCCCCCGACGTGGAGGGCTGGAGCTGCGCCCAGCGGCTGCTGGGTGTCCGCTGCCCTCAACGGACCCCAGCGATGGGGCTCAGGCTCAGCCCCGAGCATCTGCAGCACGGGTCCACATCCCAGCCTCGACCCTACGTGAGCAACGTAACCCCAGCGCCAGGGCTGAGCCTAAAGGAGGCTGAGTGGGGGGCGCAGACACGGGCACGGCCCTTAGGTAATGCCGCAGAGCCCACAGGAACGACAGATGGGCTGGTTAGGGGATGGGTTGGTAATGGATTGGAAGGTGAGCGGATGAGCTGGTTACTGACTGCTCTGGTTAGGGGACGGGCTGGTTAACAGATGCACTGGTTAGTGGACAGGAAGGTTAGCGGACACGCTGGTCAACGTCTGGTCCGGTTGGTGATGGGAAGGTCGGTGGATGCAGCAGTTGGTGGAAGGGCCGGTTAATTGGCCGGTCAGCGGGGCACTGCTGAGTGCCGGGTCGGTCGATGCCGTGGCGCAGCCCTGAGCCCACATCCACACCTCCAACGCCCTCAGCCCACCTCCAGGAGCGGCTGTGCCCTCCCGGCTCTCCTCCCCCGGCTGCAGCTCCGGATTTTCCCCATCGGAGCTCCTCGGGAAGCCGGGTTTGGGCAGGCTGCACCCGAGGGGGGCTTCGATGGGCAGCGCCGCCCTTCCCTCTGCGGGCAGCACAACGCGCTGCGCTCCCGGCCGGCGCTGCGGCCCATCCGCCCCCAGCGTTGAGCAACAAGGCAAACAGAGAGCGAGGGAAGATCATCATCATGGTTTTATTTGTCATGATCCCGCTGTCCGAATAATTGACGAGTTGCAAGTGACCCACAAAAAAAAAAAAAAAAAAAAAAAAAAAACACCGACAAAAAAATGGACCAAAGATCGACTGAAATTGCCTTGTGGTTTTTTTTTTTTCTTTTCTCCTTTTTTTTTCTTTTTTTCTTTTTTTTTTTTTAGTCCAACATAAACGAGGAAGAAAAAAAAAAAAAATACTTCTGACATTTCCAAAAAACAGAAATAATAGCAAAGTATATTAATATACATTCAACATATACTGCGTATTGATTACTACAATACAAAGCCATGATAAAAACAAAACAAAACAAAACCAAAACGGAACCAAACCGAAAAGTGTGATACTGCGAAATGGCACCGAAATGGCACGGTTACAAGCGAGTCCCTGCTGTGCTGGGCGCTGACTGAGGGCGGCCGACTCTCCCAGGAATACAGTGTCGTGTAAACAAAAGGAAAACGAACCAAAGGCGCAGAGCAAAAGGCTTTCGGCGCCTCCTCCCCCCCCAGGAGCTGCGGCTGCCAGCTGGGGGCTCTTCCTCCTCTCCAGCTTTCCAGCCCGTGAATCCATTCAGCATCCTTTTCCCGGGGCTGGGGGCAGGCGTTGGTAGCCATAGCGAATTAACCTCTGCCATGCTGGTTTCACACTTCCTTCTGTGCAAATTCGGGAGGGCTGGGTCGATTCTTTTATTATTATATATATCTATTTTTTAAATACTCCAAAAGTGTCATTAAAGAAGGATTTCAGGTGTAGCTTCAACGTCCCAAAGGCAATGGTGACGCCACGCGCTCCCCAAGGCCTGGATGCTGGGGTGCTTTGCTTTCTCTCAGCCAAGGAAAGAACAACAAGAAGAACAAAGAAGAGATCTATGCACGTTTGAGCTGCATAAAGGAGAAAACCACTTCTGCCACAGGCACGAGAGAGAAAACCAGTCACAATTACAAAGTCATTAAAAGAAATAAAATACTTTGAACAAAAGGTGCATGTCACAATTCATATAGAACAGAATCTAGTTAAAAATTTCTCTCAAACAGAAATTCCTTTTGCCTTTTATTAATAACAATAATAATAAAACAACATTTACCAAAAAAAAAAAAAAAAAAAAAAATCCTAGATGATCAGGAGGAAAAGCTCAGAAAACAAAGGAAAAAAAAAAAGATCTGTCTTCCCTACATTAAACCAGGAGGAAGAAATTAAAAGGGAAAAAATAATTGCATGGGGATCAGAAATGCAAAAAATTACAAAGGGGGTGGGGGAGGGCAGGGGAAGAAGTGATCCTTTCAGCACGGTGATGAAGGAAGGAGCAGAAGCAGAGATGAGGCAGGACAGCACAGCTCCCACCTGCGGGGTGGGGGACGGGCAGAGCGCCCTGCTGCCCTGCTCAGGGCCAAGGAGCAGCACAGCAGGGCAGGGTTGCACTGCAGGGCAGGGATGCACTGTGGCTCCTGCCTGCCCTGTGGGCTCCATGGGCTCTGCTCCCACCGCCAGCCCCAGATGCTCACAAACCAGCCCTCCAAACCAGACTCGGTGCTCGGGCTCCGCTGACGCGTAGGGTTGGGTTCTCCGGTGATTTCAGTGATAGCTGGAGTTACAGGCAAATATGGCCAACAAAAAAAATTGGAAAAAAAAAAAAAAATTAAAGAAACTGAAGGAACAACACACTGGATGAAGTGATTATGAGGAAAGGGGGCCATGGTATTCCAGTTAGTCAGAAATACTACGGCAATTTGGCGCAATGCTGCTAGATACTGTTGGTTTAAAATGGACCTTTTCATTTCAAAGCTGTACATAAAACCTGCAACAGAGAGAAGAAGCGGAGGTGTGTTAGGGGATACCAGAGCATGGCAGTTCTGCTCCCACAGCCCCTCACCGCATTCCCACTCCAAACCCACGGGGTAAAGCCCAGAGCAGAGCCCCCACCAACAAAACGTGGCTCTGGAAGGACAGCAAAGGCACGAAGGAGGGCCCTGAGCAAACAGGGGGGGGGCAGCCAACAGCGAGGAGCTCGGAGCTGGCAGCCTCTTCTCCAGCCCTGCACCAATGCTGGAGCAAAGGGATGGGGAAGGAGATGCACAGAGTCACGCTGCTTCAGGGCTGCCATCCAGGAGAGCCCAAACGTGCAGCTGGAGAGAAAAGGAGGACACAGATACTCACTCCCTCCTGCTTACACCCCTGCCTGCTCCATCCCAAAGGGCACCTCTGGGTGCTTGTAGCTCAGTAGGACATCTGTGATACATGTCGATGGGTAACAAGAGGTGTTTAGATGCTGGTTGCCATCACCTAGGTTGGGATGCTCTTGAGCTTCCAAACTTTCCCCACATTCTGTAACATCAAAGAACAACATCAGGGTTTGCATTAGGAGCACTAAAGAGCTGCAGCTTCTGCATGTGGGTCAGGCCAGCAAGAAGCCCAGCTCATTACTGCCACAAGCTCAGGCTCGGGCCAGCAGCAGCACAGAGCTCTACAGGCTGCCACAGGTTTGGACCCAAAGTATGTCATAGCTAGAGATGGTTACAGCATCCAAGCCTCAAGTGTAGTGAGAAATCCAAGAGACTCTCTTTAACTCAGCTCACGCAAACTGCACGGAGAGGGCTTCGATCCCACAGTGGCAGCCAACCCTTCCACCCCTGTGGCTCTGCAGAGCTCACTGGCAGCAGAGGTGGCTTTGCAGTGCAGGCTGTCAGAACAACGCAGGTCCTTACAGCTCCCGACCCGCAGCCCAGCAGTGCCCACGCCACGTCTGCAGCCTGCCAGCTCCTTACCCTCACTCTCCCTGTCACGCAGCTGCTGGCTGGCCATGAGCGACGACTGGCTGAGGACGGCATCAGACATCCGAGCAGAGCTGAGCGCTTTTCCTGCCATTAAACTCATCCCAGGCAGGTTATCTAACTGCACCTGCGGAGACACCGGGACACAAATCAAAGTGGGACCAGAGCCAGGCACCTACGGCTTCCCCGGCTGCCTCTGACAGCTGCCCAGGGAGTTTCTGCCAGCCTTCAGCAAGGGCTTCAGAGTACAAGAGTACAGAGTGCACATCAGGGACAGTGCAGGTGCAGGCAATGTCACCTCAACGTGGAATGGAGGGACAACTCGACTCCCTTGCAGACTTACATGCAACTAATTAGAGACAAGCCCTCCTCTACAGCAGTAGGAAGCTGTAGCAAGAAACATGCCACAATCTGGGTCTGATTGTTCTCAGAGATTCAAAATGCAGAAAACAGAGCAGCTGCTCTTTGCTCTTGGTGTGGCCAGGTCACTGAGCACTGCAGAGCTGAAAGCTGGGCTCTGTGCATCTGTAAAACTTCTGCAGCCACAGCCAAGCCTGGGGCAGTGCAAATGGTTTCATCAGAAACACTCTGGGGGCAAAAGGAAAGATGCAGCCAGCTCTGGGACAAATCAGGCAACACGTGAGCAAAGGAGAACTTCCACATTGGTCTCTGCTAAAATGTTTTCAGCATTAAGCAAACTGGGCATGCTGACCGCTGCGTCCCAACAGCACTTCATCCCCAGCAGCCCTGCAGAGCAGGGTGCTGCCTTTCTTTTGCGTCACCTCCTTCATAAGCCATACACATCCGGGAGCTGCTGGGCACAGGAATCTCCCCACTTACGTAGGCATCATCACTGTTCTGGATGGTGTGATGTCTCTGCAGGGTGCGGGGCCGCGGGTGCTCACTGGAGGCCGGCCGTGCTGGGTATCCCAGCCCGTTGTGGTCAGGCACCTGCATGGCTTGGCCCGGGGAGCTCCTGTCCATACAGTTCCCTACGACGGACTCTTGAAATCAGATGAAACAGAGAAGGGTCAGATTAGCACAAGGAACCGTGGTAGCTCTTGGCAACACGTGCCACCACAGCACAAACCAATGTCGCTTGCATTGCGCTGCCCGCCAGGTGGGAAGGGAATTGCTGGCTCCTCTGGCTCAAGCACTGCAGCACCAGGACTCCCTGGGATGGCCCACAGACCTCTCTGCTCCTGTAGCAGCCTCCATCTGCCCCCCCTCCCACCCTGCACCCTCCTCCATGCATTGCTCACATTACACAAGAGAAGGAGAAGGGTCTCCTCCACCTCCGACACAGGATGTTCTTAGCAGGGCCCCTTGGCAATCGTATGCAACAGATCTGGCTGGAAGAGCTGCCAGGATAGTAGTTGTTATCAGATGACTTCTCCCTGCCCTCCTCCAATCTGGCTGTAGGAGTACAAGAGCATTCTGCCTGGCAAAGTCCATCTGCACTGCAAGCTCTTCTGAGCAAGGGTAAAGGCTACATTCCTATCAAGCAGAACCTATCGTCATTAAGTACACGATGTTTTGAATAAAGTCCTGAGCTATGGAGAAGCCTATTGCTGGCTGTGGTGCACGTAAACAATTCTCTGTCGGTGAGCAATCCTGCAGAGCACAAACACGGGGATGAGGCCACGGGCCCTCAGGAGCTGCCCTGACGTGACACGGCCACAGGTGGATCCCAACAGCAGTGATCAGGTTTGCAGGAAACGGTCAGCAGGAAGCAACTCTTGGTTGTGCCAGCAGTGAGACATTCCTGGCTGGGACTGTGCCCTGGGAGCTGGCAAGATGTGTGCTTTCCAGAGACTCGTCCCTGACATTACTGAAGCTCAAACAAGTCCTGCTCATTCCCTGAGCACCCCACGCTTCTCCCCAGCACGCAGACTGCGCTGCTGGAGCACCATCCCAGCAGCAAGGCATGGAGCTCGGAGCCCCCAGAGCCCAGCCGGCCTCCTTCCTTTTGCACATCTGTGGGGTTAAACTCAGTTAATGGCCAGCATTCCCGGAAAGCAAGAAGGAAAACATGAGGTAAGGCAGTGCTGGCAGTGCAGGGCCGCCCACACAGCGCTCGGGGCCCTTCCAAGTGTGGGAATGGTCGGGGCAGGCAGTGCCAGCAGCGGGGAGCAGCAGCAGTAAGGAGCCCAGAGCACAGGCTGCTGCCCTTGCCCCTGCCCCGCTCCGGCAGCGAGGGACCCTTTCATCCCTTTGTGTCAGTGCATGTGATGCTGGCACCCGGCTTCCCAGCACTGGGGAAAGGTTTCCCACGGGCAGTGCTCCGACCCCAGGTTGGAACAAGGCTGCAGCTGAGCCGCTCGGATGCGGTTTAGTCATCCCCTAACCACAGATTTGGTTGAAACTCTCATGATCTGCAGTTACCTTCTGTAACTGGCTTTTAAAGCAGGGTCAATGCACTCTCTTGGAAGGCATAAATCCTGCTGAGCCCCCGCAAATCTGCACTCCTCCCTCGAGCAGCATGCATTTCACAAGCTGGAGAGAAGGAGGAGGTATTTGCCCTCTCAGCTGTCCTGTCCCCACAGAGGGGATGGCTGGAAAACCCCAAGCTGTGTCTGAGAATGGCAGCCTTGCAGAAAGCCATCTCAGGGTGCCAGTGCTGGGGTGCACAGCTCCTGCTGCCATCCCTCAGCACCTGGAACACTTGGGTTGTGCTACAGGCAAGCAAGAAGCAGCAGGGCATTCAGGGTGTTTGCAGCAAGGTTTTACAGGGTTGAACTGTAGGAAATGTACCTCGGTCTGCCTAGATGTCTGCTCTGCTTGGAAGTGAAGTAACACAGGCCAGATTCCAAGTGGGTTATTAAAGCCAGGAGGAAAGCTCTGAGCAGCTGCATCTCAGAGCATAGTTTACTATACAAGCCCTCCAAACAGCCCCTGTCAGAAGTGCTTACACAATGCAACTCGCAAACATTTGCTCGTTTTTTACTCATTTACAAAGTCTTGTTGTCTAAAGTCCTTTTCCCTTGTGTAACTTGTTTTAGCACCGTCAGGACTGGGGCAGAACTTTACCTTCTGACTTGGTTAAATCTTATGGCTTTGCACATTTTGGACCAAGATATTACGATGCGAACTCAAGATTTGGTTCAAAATGCACTGCCACAGCTTTCAAATCCCACTTAACCTGAGGTTACTCTTCCCTTTTGTGCTGCAAACACCATGGGGATATTAAAGCCTGAGAGAAAACACATCACTAACACAAAATCAAGGAAGACTTCAGAAAAGCCAGGCCTTGTCCCTGTCCCCTGCTCTGAGGGACACAGCTTGGCATGCCCTCACTGCTCTCTGCGCCTCTCTGTTCCCAGCCAGTACTTTCCCAACAAACCCATGCTGTGTCTCCAAACAAAACAGTGCCTCCTGTGCCCAGGACACTGCTCCCCTGCAATAGGGTTCCCTGTGCCAAGGGCAAGCTGATGGCTTCAGACCAGTACAGCTCAGTCCTGCAGTGAATACTGATCCACCCCGCTCAGCCTGGAAAGCCTCTCTTCAAAACCATCTTAGCAAGGGGCTAGGACTGTGTTTTTTCCTACAGAGAAGGCCTGTAATTATAGCTCTGACAGCACATCACTGTCAATGCAGCCACCAAGGAGTAAGGGCTCAAGGGCTGTTTCCAACCAGCAGGAAAGGGCTTCACATGCTAATGGCAAGCTTCAGCTCCCTGTCTTTAGAATCAACTCCCTCCAGCTAAAGCAGGGCTCCAGCCTCACTGCTGCTTCCCCAAGTGCACGAGCACTGTGAGGCAGACTTAGCAGCACCTATCACCATTGTCATGCTGCAAGTTTATGGAAGCCTTAGCAATGCCTGGACTCACAGTTCTGCCCCTAAGAGAAGGAATGCGCCACGTTACAGGGCTTCCAGAAAGAAGATCTTTGCTGGGCACTTACTTACACCCGATGGGGGATCACCCCAACAAGAAGAAATGAGTCAACAGATCCCAGCATCTCTTCAGAGACAGCACTATTGTGGTCCTGGCCTTTATCTGCCTACAGAAGTAGGTCACATTCCGAAGAGAAGAATCTAGCAGAGTTCTTATTTAACACTGTTTATTAGAGAGACTATGCCTGCAATTTATAGCCACAGAAGCCAGAAAGAATCTAGGTAATTCTGTGCTATGCAAAATATGTCACGAAACCATTGCAGTACTAGGTAGGGATGGTGTTCTCTGGCAGGAACACAAGCAGCACGCAGCCAGTATGGAAAAGCATTTCAGCCATGCGAGTGGCCCTGAGCCTTACCTCTGCTGGGCACCTTATTCCTACTGAATCCAGCAGCGGGCTGATGCCTGTATTGATGCGTCCCCAGCTCCTGAACGTGATTAGCAGTTCCTAGCAAAGATTCTGGGTCCCCGTGCCCTCCTGCATTTACAAGCAGAGGGGTCTCGTGGCAACCTTTGGTCAACGTATTTGAATTCTTACTGTCTGGAAAGCTGTCCCTGGCGCCCTCGCACGCACAGTCCTCCTCCATGCTCTCCGAGTGGAACAGAGCTGGCTGGTGTACGTATCCATGCGGTGGCACTGATGCAGGTACCTGCTGGATACATTCTTGAGCCCTGATTTTTAGGAGATGCTGGGGGCTGCTCTGTGGATGATAGGTGTCAGCACTCTGATAAGGCAAAGACAACGACTGACGCTCCGACAGGCTCTGTCCCATGCTGGTGCCCATGTTTCCAGCATCCCCTTGACTCATGTGCCTGAACAACTCTTGAAACTCTTGCTGCTGCTGCTGTTGCTGCTGCTGCTGCTGCCGTCGTTTGATGAGCTGTGCAAATTCTGCCTGGGGCAGCCGCATGTCCGTGTGCCCCGTGAGAGAGTGACGGGGAGAAAGGAGTCCCTGGAGGATGTGTGGTACCTGCTGGTGTCGGCTGTAGTCAGGAGGTGTTGGGGACAACAGTGCTTGCTGTAGTGCCGATGCAGTGTAGTGCTGTTGTTGCTGATGTGCATTTTGAGGGAAATTGGGATACTGGTCAAGCTGTGGGACTTTGAGAGCTTGCTGAGCTGGAGGAAACCCAACTCCTCCTGATGGGCTGTAGTTACTGGGGGAAACACGAGGCTGCTCTGGGAACAGGTGGGGGTGTAAGTGCACCTGGTCGTAGTTGGCGGGGGGATTCCTGTACACGTTCAGACTGCAAAGAACAGAAAAGAACAAGTGACTGCACTGTCAGCTCCAGCTAACGAGGTGTGCAGGGCTGACTTTAGTGCTCCCACCTCACACAGGGTTTGATCCACCGTACCCGCATAAGAGCAGGGAGGCAACAACTACTCCAAAGGCAGAGTGCCCATCATCCTGTGCTCCAGGTCACCCACGAGGGCAGCTGCAGTGTAAGGTGGTGCGGCTAGTAAATGTAAGGGAAGCAGGAACCCTGACTGTACCGAGGAGAAAATATGATCTGGGGAAAGCGTCTGTTTCAAGTAGCAAGTGTTCAAGCACTCAAGTTCTTAACTTTTCCACTTCCTGCCCTGCCCTGGCAGGAGGCAGGGACAGCCACTCCTGGCACAAGGTGCTTCCCAAGGCACAAAAACCCACAGCCTTGCACACTCTCAGAGCTCCCAGCCAGGGCCAGGAATTGCTGCCAGGAGTCAGTTTCACCCCCAAAACAAGGGGCTGATGAAGAACCCCCCAGAAGCTGACAGCCAGCAGTTGCCCCTCACACCCAGCCCCATTCCCAGCTCAGGGGGGCCGTGGTGCAGCAGTGCAGTGGCCTTACCTGTGCGACTCGGCGCTGTCGGCGCTGAGCTGCTTGGACAGCTGCCTGTGGCCATAGGTGAGGGAGGCCATCAGGTTGGCGCGGTGCTGCATCTGGATCTGGTTGGCACTGGGGCTGATGGACATACCCCGTGTGTGGGTGCCCTGCCCGGCCACAGAGGCCCCTTGCAGGAGGTTGTTGCTGACCATGTCGCCGGGTTCCTGCACTTGGATGGTGACCTGCTGGGCCTGGGACTGCTGCTGCAGGGCCAGACACGTCAGCCCCATGGTTGGGGGAGGGGAACAGTTACCAGACTGTGGGAAGATCGTGTTGTGGGAAGGCATCCCTTGGAACTGGGACTGGGAGGCTGCACCTACGAGGAACAGAGACTCTCAGCATCCACATCAGCCCAGGGCAAGGCTCAGGAGAGAGCAGCACGCAGAGCCCCAGGACGCACAGCAAGGAGAGCCCTACTCCTGGCAACTCTGACAGGCTGCGTCAGGGTGCAAGGGTCAAGCTAGAGCCTCTTGCATAGAAAGAGAAACAAAGCACAGCTCACAGTGATTTGTATCAACCCAAGAATATCAGCCCTTCCTCCCCACCCCCGGGAGTGATAAGTAAGGATCTCATGACAAGAAACGTATCAACACGTTCCAGCTGGCAGATCCTCGCGCGCTCTCGATAACACCAGCCCTTGCTGCCAGATGGAGAATCTTTTACATCATCAGCAAACTGCACGAGGATTTGAGCACAGGGGGGACCGAAGCCCCCAGCTCCCCCACGCACTGTTTTCCCGGAGGCTGGATAGCAGCACACGGCTCTGCTGCCCCGAGGAGCACAGATGGCTCAGGCAACTGTCAGCACTCACCGTGGGGCTGCAGCACGCTGCTGCTCACAGGAGGTGGGCTGCTGTTTGGTTGCCTGAAGAGGTGGTTATTGGGGTGATTTGGGGGCGGGCTGGATGGCTGAATCCGTAACCTGCGCAGGGAAACAAGCAGCTTTTCATCACACATGCACCTCATTGAGACACTTTTTCAGCTGTGAGAGCTGACGCCAAACACTGTATTTTTGTTGTAAGACAAACACTGTGAAGCCCATGCTTGGGATCCCAAATTCTTTGCAGCTTGCCTTCTATTTTGAGAGCCATGCTTAAAACATGTAAGTAACGAGCGTAACCTGGTGGCTAGAGCAAAAATCCTGGGAAGAGAACATCACAAGCTTTCTTCCTGACTCACTGTGGCCTGCAAGAAAACCAACCTTCCTTCCTTCCTTCCTTCTTTCCTCCCTCCCTTCCTTCCTTCCCAGAATTCAGCCTGCCTCATTTACAAGTCAGGGGTGATTAAAACAAGGACTGTCACCTAACACAAAGTCTGAAGAGATGTGAGAAGCCCAGGAACACCTCTGAGCAGTAATCATGAGAGAAATTGACTTAATGAAGGTAATGCATTTTCAAGCTGGTCAAAAGGCAAAATTCTCTGTCATCTGTTCAAAGCAGATTTGTGCCTTTGAATCACATTTCTCTAATTCCAGAATTCTTTCAGAGAGGATCCAACAAAAAGGACCGTGCACATTCACCTGTGAACTGCCTCAGCCATTCTTATTTTACACACCTCCAGCCTGGCCCTGGACTGTATGTTAGCTCATCCTTGGGTCAGGCAGAGTAAATCCCATCCCCCAGAGCTTTGCTAAAGCCATTTCTTTACCTCTGAAGCTGGTGAGTGAGCAGAGCTGGCTGGTTTTCACATTGAGCTTGCAAGGGTGGAGAAGGCTGAGGTGGCCGGATACAGTCCTGAACCAGGCATCAGAAAACAAAAAGTGTTTGTGATCAGTACTGTGTCAAGTAATACAGTTAGGACGTGGTGAAGAGTGAAGTGGGACATATCCACATTCTCCAAACACTTGGTCCCTGACTGCAGCTCTCACTATCACAGCAGCAAACATCACGGCTGAAGTCCTTCAGGCTCACTCCTCGTTAAGAAAGCTGAGCAACCTACATCTCCTCAATCTCACGTGGACCTGCTCTGTAGTTTTATCTGCAGCCATTCTGAAAATACAGCTAAGACATCAGAAAGTCTACCTCAGGCTCTAATACCTGGATCTGCTGATGAAGAATCTGATGGTGCTGCTCTTGCTGGTACAGCATGTGTTGCTGCTGTGTCTTCTCCAGTGTCCTCTCATCCATGTGCCCACCATACATCTTCTGAAGCTGTTCACATTCCTGTAACGAGTCCAACACGCCCTAGAAGTGACCGTTTGGTTCACTCTTATGGGACAGAAAGGCACTCTGCTACATGAGAAATCCAGTAAAGAAAGTCTAATCCATTTAATTTGATGGAATTGGGTGTGCAACAACACGGCTAGCTCAAGCCTTAGATAACAGAGGAGAAACTGTGCACAAGCTCAAGCTGGCAGCATTGCATTCCCTTAAAAAAATGCACGCATGAAGCTGTAATAATGATAACTTCAAGGTGAAAAGAGCATCTCATATTTCCACTCTATTGCAAGGTGAAAGTCCTGTCCTGATGCCAAATCCAGCTCAAGCCATGATAAGACATGCACTGGTTGTACACGGGATAGCATGCAATATTACTCCTAGTTCTAGCAGTATGAACTGCCCTTTTTCCAGGCATTCTGGAACAGCACCAAATCTTTGCTGCCCCAGGAAGTGTGGGAGAGCAGCAGACGCAGTGCTGATGTGACCACAGAGGCCACATGTGGGCACAGCACCTGCATTTTTTCCCTAGGAAGAGAGGAGCGGAAGCCCCCAAAGCTCCCAGATTGCAGTTGAGCAGCACGTACATTTAGAGGGCATTCTGCAGGGTTTGCTGCCTTAAGTCCCCCACCCCTCTCACCTGCTGAAGCTGTTTGATGCTACTGTTATTGCCCATCTTCTCCAGGTGGGCTTTGAAAGCCTGGATGCTAGCAGCACCGTCAGAGAAACGCCGAACCGGGGAGAAGCGTTCGGTGGGGAGGTGCAGAGTATTGGAGTCCTTGTAAATAGAACTGAACACATGGGGAAGTGGGTTAGTGATGCCAGATAAAAAACAAGCTGAGGTACAGAGGCACTTGATTTAAACCAGCCACGCCAAGTTCTAACCTGCCCACTCACCCAGAATAAACCATGTTTTAGATCAAGAAATAAGGTGCCATCAGTACCATGAAGAGGAAGCAAGATTACTGAGTATCCTCAGCAGCTGGGCAGATAAACATGATTCAAGGTTGAACATGATTCAAGGTTGAACATGATTCAGCCACAAATCAGATCAGAGACGGGCAGCAACTCGTCCACCCAAAGGCAACTTTGAAGAACAGACACAGCTAGAACCAAGGCAACTGTGCCCGAAGAATTGCACACATTTCCATTTGCAGTGAGAATTCTTCTTCACCAGGGGGAGCCAGAATAGGGCTTTTTTGGGGAGCTGGATTCTGCCAAAGCTGGGGCTCCCTGTTGTCAGAGTTAAGCACTGAGCTCCTGCCTGCACTGGGATGAAATCTCAGCACCTGTGACAGCCTGGCACTAAATTCAACAGTACCCCAGCTGCTTTCATGTTGATACAAACCTCAGCTGCATTACTGCAGGCTAGTCAAAGTCTTAGCTACTGCTCATACTGCTCTTCGTGCTGCTGTGCATATTGATTGCTCTTTGCTGAAGTCTGTTCTAAGAAGAATGATTTCTCCTGAGCGAAATCATTCCTGAGCCCCCATTCCTGAGGCTCCCCCTTATCAGAACATGACTGTGCTGGAATGCTACCAGCACCCTGGGGTCAGGTCTTGTCCCTTAGCAGGACATAAATCAGTTTCTATAGACTTCACATGACTTCCTCCCATGGACAGAGCTATGTCACTCCCTTTTGATACCATCCCACCCATTATCCTGATCCATTCCACCTCCTGTTGCACCAATGCAAAGCGGAAACTACAGGTAAAAATGACACTGAGGTTCCCAAACACACATGGCCAAGGCAGACCAGTGCTGGCTGCTGTACTTCAATCCACTTTCAGATACTAAGTTATCATGACCAAAATGGGTGCTCTATATAAAGAAGATGGCTTAAAATATGTGAAGTGCTAAAATAAAACCCACCAGCTGTTCAACAGCCACAGTCTAGTTATATGATGACACGAGTGCTAATGGTTTCTGTGCTGTGTGTGTGTCTCAGACACGACTGTGGGGAGTCTGTTTAGGCCACAGTCAGATGAAGTTTCCATGATTCCTTGGGTAAAATGCGAGGCAGGCTCACAGCACACTACAACACCATGGGTGGAATGAACAGAATGAACAGAACAGCCTCAGGACCGTGAGGCAGAGGTGATACCAACATACTGACACAGGGTGTTTTAATAATTCCTCAAAAAAAAAATAAGTCAGTTCCTGCAGTGTGTGAGTGACACAGCTTACCTTCACAATTTGAAGCAGTCCTTAAAGTAGGACACAGCACGTTCTGGTTGTTTTGCAAGCTGCACTTCTCTTCCTATTAAGGTTTTCTTGTGACCCCAGAAATCTCTCCCCCTCCTGCTCTTCCCATCCCCCAAGCACCTCTAAGGGAGTAACTTCAGGGTGTAGAGGTGCTTATCTTGGCTGTCTAGAGTTCCAGCGTGGCACTGACACTGGCTCAGTCTGCTCAGAGTTCACCTGTCTCTGCTGATTACATCAGTGCTCAGCTCAGCAGGTATCTGGCTACAATAAAAAGCACTTTGTCAAGCTTGCCAGCATGAGCTGGCTGAAAGATTTAATGCAAATCTAGCCTGGTAGGCAACTGTTTCCTCAACAGTCGAGACCAACAGGCAGCAAACTCTGTACTTTGCAGCTGGTTTGCACTCTTGGCACTGAGAGGTTCAGAACGCAGGTTTTAAGCTCTCTCTGTGGCATTAGTGTTTACAGTGTGCTTCTGTGCCAAGGACTCTGTGTCAAATTAACGCTTCTCGCAATTAGGAATGACCTACTCAAACATTTGGAGTGTGTTTAGACACCATCTGCAGCAGTTCCCTCTTTTCCACTGCAATTTTTCTTCCCACTCAAGCTTCCCTTCCCCATATCCCTCCCCTCAGGGGTTAAAGACAGGAAATAAAATGGCTCTCCAGGAGCTTCGCAAAGAGACTTTGCAGTCAAAACAAACAACTCTGGTGCAGAACAGTGAGGATTTTAAGCTGTGTCATAGATAATTTTTGGTGCAGTCTTGCCCTCGCATCTGACTCCAAAATGTTCCAGAGAAAATCTACTACCTACTGCTAACTTGACACCTACCAATAAAACAGAGAAAGCTCTCTAAAATGAACAGATTTTTCTCAACCCTTCAGTGATGGCAGCCATTCTGGCAAACCATCTCCTGCCACAAAAACAGGACCAGAGGGGACAAGCCAGCTGACTGCTGCCCCAGCACTGCCTGCAGCTGCAGGCACAGAGCCCACGCCAGTGCACAACTCCAGCGTGGTTGGACACGTCTGCCCTGGGGATCTGCTCCTGATGCTTCCTCCTCCTCCTCACCCCTCCCTGCCAAGCGGGATGTCTTCAGTGCTCCATTCCAGGTGACATCTGAGCAGGTTTTCTGGCGCAAAGCTGCCCGAAGGGCCGGTGTCATTACTCACCGGTGCTGATCGGGTACCAGGTGTGGAGCCCAAGCCCGGGGTCGGAAGGACTGCTGTCCTAGCTGCCTCTGCAAGTCTGGAGGGATTTCAGCTGTAGGGTTGGTCATTGCCAGAGTGTGCCTTTTTGACCTATTTGCCAAGTATCTGCAACAAGCAGGAGCACATTTTATAAGAGACTGGTGGATGATACTCCAAAAACAGGGAGTGTTAGATAATCCAGAGTAAAGGTGAAGGAAGAATGCTGCTGCAGTGCTCAGAACTGACTGGGGGCTGAGTGACGCCCGGGGAGAAGCACAGCATGGACATGCTGCCCACGCCTGTCAGATCAGAAGGCCTTCAGTGCTTAGGGGACAAGGGGACAAGCGTGGTTTCAGCTGCTTGCGTGCTAACGCTGTTCTCAGAAGGAAAGAGAAGCCATTTTGCTTTTCCCATCAGGAAAGCCATGTTTTGTCTCCAGGGAAATGCCAGTTTATTCCCTGGGGAACACACGGCGACCTGCTGCTTTCAGCATGGATTCACTCCAATGCAGCAGGTCTGCTTCCCCCTCACGAGGCCCCACTGAGGCACAGAGGGATCTGCCGTGCTCATGGAGTCACACACAGTCTTAGCAAGGAAGAGAAGGGGCACAGTGCAGAGGCTGCTCAGCTTCCCCCTCTCAGCTGCCCTTTGCACTTCAGACCGGACCCGTCACACCCTGGGCTCCAGCAGAGGCCAGCACAGCACAGAGCACCACTGGAGATCAGGGTGAGGAGAGCTCTGGCCACGCCACGACAGGGCAGGCAGTGCAGCACCACCCAGCCTGGTCACAGTGCGCCACCTAGGCCCGATCCTGTTTTGCAGAGCTGGAAATCACCCAGCAATGCACTGGGCAAGGACAGCTGGGGGGGTGAGCAGCACAGCTCCTGCTCTGTGGTCGCAGCCCTAGCATTGAGCATGCCTCTTGCACCACAGCTCAGCATTGGCATCTTATGCTGAGGTGCCCTCTGCATTGGAATGAGCACCTTCCATCTCTTCCAAACCCTCAAAGAGTGGGGGAGCATGCAGAGCAAAACTACGAAGCTCTGCCTCAGCCAGGATGTCAGGGAGGGCTGCACGGTGCTGATGGCTGTGCCCTGCTGGACTTGCAGTGAGCAGCAGCAGCGATGCCTGGGGACCAGCTGGGGGCACAGGGCCAGAAGAGATAACAGAGCACCGACCCAGAATGCCTCGGCCTGTGACGAGCACCAGGGCAGCACTCTGCCCACTCAAGGACAGGCAGGTGAATGGCCGCTTATGAACTCAACTATTTCTGCTCTTGGAAACCAGCAGCAATTAAGGCGGCTGTGGCAAAGAGAACCTGGCCAACGACACAAGAGCTACAAAAAGGGGGATTCTCACCTTTGTTTTTTAACCTCTGCAAATGCAGCTTCATCTCGTAAAGCAGAGGAAAGCAACAAGCAAAAAAAAAAACAAAACCAACCAACAAAAACGTTGCCTTCTCCAAAATCAGCCTTTGCCAGCTACTAAAGCCACTTAGGCAGAAGGCAGCAAGTTAACAGAATGAAGAGTGCTTAGCATTGTGGTAACTTGCCAAAGTCTGTGCCATTAGCTGTTTAAGAATCATTTGATGGAGACAGGGAAAGTTTCCCAAAGAGCTTTACAGTTGTGGTTTGCTAAGATCATTTTATTTCAGACCTCCAGGGAACAATCCAATCATGAGCTATAACAGTGTTTCTGGTGGAAGAAAGTTTCCCAAAGCTCAAAGGAGTTGTGGCTGTTCCCTGGAGCAGAGAAAAGTATGCATACTGTTTTCAAGGTCAGATTAAGAAGGGCAAAAAATTGTCCGCTGGTGGCTGCATGCAGCGTTGGAAACACTGTTCTGAGAAGCTAAATATTTGTTACTGCTATTTACCCTTCTCTGATGACTAGCTACGTGTTGCAACATAACGGGGTGGAGAGCAAGTTAACGCACAATCTGGATGGGCCATCTGGTGGAAGAACAGGAGAGGGCTATGGACAACACAGCTGAGAGCAGCAAAGTGACCCGTGAGTCCAAGGAAATTGCTCTTCAGTGGGATTCAAACACCTCTGCAACTTGCATGGGAGTTTTACTGCCTTTCCAGTCGAGCTGGTTCTTAAACCACACAACTGCATACAGCTGCCAGCACAGACAGTTGGTGCTCCTGAGCCCTGCTGAGGAGGACAGTGTACAGTTAGGGTACAGCAGCTTGAAGGGGGCTGAATGCGGCCTGTAGTGTCTGTGCTCTTCACCTGCTCAACACCACGGCTTGGCCTCATTTCTTTCACCATGCTGCCTGGGCAGGTGGATGAACAGCAGTGCATGAAGCTGGAAAACACTGCGAGAGTGAGCACAAAGATGAGGGTGGCAACGGACTGGAGTGTAAATCTGCACAGAAAACACAGGATGCGTTCTGTGGAAGGGCTGCACTACTTCTAAGGCAGAGCTGGAAGCAGGTTCCTTCGCATGGACCAGCCCTGACATCCTTCTAAGCTCCGGGAGGCAAAAGGGGAATCAGCACACACTGCACAACCCATCGCTACACGCAGCACTGCTTGAATCCCCTGAAGCACTGAAGCGACAAGAGCTGGCAAGGCTCTGGGGCACGAGCTCTGCCCCTCCCAGAGTTTCTGCCTGCAACCAACCCTCATCTGAATCATTCACCCAAGCGTAGCCCCAGAAGAAATGTTGTCTTACTTGAGGTGATGGCCTGCACAAACTCGGGGAAATCCAGAAATCTTTTCAAGTTTGAGGTAAGAGACAGGAGCACTCCATCACCACACCCAAAACACAGTGCACCAGCTGGTTAGCACAGAAGAAACTACACAAAAGCTACTGAGAAATGTTAGCAAGGAAATGGTTAGTGTTTTCATGGATTGAGGAAGTACAAGCGTGTTCTACCCGCTTCCCAATACGCATCTGGAGCAGACAAAGAGAACAACAGTTTCCAAACTAATGTCTGATAGTTCTTTTCTTATTGGAGCAGACTACTCTAAGGCCCACTGCTAAAATTAGAAGCCAAGAGGTACTTGTATTTTCAGCAAGCTCACTTTGTCTAAGGCATCAGAGTTGGATGTTTACTGCATGTCTTGATACAAAAGCTGCATTTAAACCCAAGGCCACAGATGAGATCTTCCTACCTCCATCACTCAGCAGGGAGGGGTGAATCACTTAGCACTCATTTTGCAGGTTAGTGTGGATTACATGCTGGTGCACACTAAGCAAAGGAGTTTAGCAGTTCCAGAGTTTCTAGAGAACCTACTGCTTTAACAGCTTACAGAATTTCAGGGGAAATCCAGTTTTGTAAGCACCTAGTAGCGTCAGAGGAGCAATTGCCTGCAGTAATCAACACCCACAAGAATAAGAGAAGTGTTAAGCCTTCATTGTAATTAACACTGCTGCCTGTGATGAGGTTGCTCGTGCCTTAATTCGGTAGTAGAACGCCACAGGGTGAGCCTCTTTGAGGGTAATAAGGGTAAACATTAACAGACTGGGGGTTACCTCTGCACAGCTTCCTGATCTGGCTCCCCATCAGAGCTCTCCTCGTCCACAGGAGTGACAGCTGGGACGGCCTGCAGGGAGAAGAGAAGCCATGGGCTCCAGAAGGCAGCCAACGTGGTCCCATCCGCACAGCAGACACCTGGCCTTCCCAAACTGGCTTCCACAAGGACACATGGCAGCTATGGGGCATTCAGCCAAGAACCCCTTCCCACATTCCTTCCCCCATACAGAACTGCCTGCGCAAGGCTGCTGCTTCTTTTGGTACTAGCAAGAAAATTCATCCATGCAGCTACATCAAGGAAGAAAGAACATGCATTAAAAGCAAGATTGACATTTTACTTTTCTCTCTATTAGAAAATCAACTGTAGTAAAAAGTTCACAAACCCTCTGCCAGTTCCAAAGAGCAGTACCTTCTCAGCTTCTAGGGATCCTTTGGGCAGCAAGCAGGCACAATCCCTGCTGCACTTCCATGAGTACTACAGCCCGAGTCTACCACCCCTGTCAAGTCTGCCTCCAGGAAAACTTATTTTTAAGCACACCACCAATTCTGTTCTTCCCTCTGGCTACTTACTGGAGTCATAGTGACGAGTGGAGATGGACCTCGAGGCCTTTTCAGCAGTTGCTGTGCATGCAACTGGATGTTAGCTCCACCGTCGGATGCTCTCCGCCCCAGAGGGCCCATGCCATTCAACAGCTGCAGAGTGGGGGGCTGCAGCAGGGACTGCTCCTGGGAAGCAAACACAGTGCAGTTACCAGTCGAGTACCAGATCCTTCTGGTACCTGAGCCCCGAGTCCACAGACTGGGATATCAGCATGAGAGCAGACGAGCATTCTGGGCTTCAGGAGAAATGAGGAATTATCGGTATCTCCAAGCCGAAGTGGGGCAGACAGAGACACTGTCAGAGGAGAAGCTGTGTTTAACTCCCCGTTTCCCAGCATTCTGCTTTAGTTACCTGGCAGGCTGCCATCTGCACCTCCAAAACCAGGCAGCAAAATCCTCTCTCTTTCCAGCCCATTCATGAATTTCATATTGCACTGTTCTTTCATTCTTAGTTTAAGTAACCAGCCAGAATCACACCTCAAGCAGCAGCAAGATTGTAATTCGTGAAGTCCAAGGAATTGACAGACAGAGGGAGGGCAAGCACAAGCACAAATGCACAGCCACACGCTTGCTGGTGTGGTACAGGCTGCAGGGGGCACACGCATGGGTCAATACCTTGTACTCCAGCTGACCCGTGGGCTGCAGGTTCTGCCTAGGCAGCACATTGTGCATGAAGTTCACATTTGGGGTCACCTGCAGGAATGGAGCCTGAGGAGTGACACGAGGGAAGCCAGGCAGGAGCTTCTGCAGATCTTCCATGACCTCCGTCCTGTGCAATCACATTTACAGACAGGTGACTTAGCAACCATGCGTGGAGAACCACCCATGGGCTCAGTACATTCAGCTTCCCTCCACAGAACAAGTTTGTTATTGCACTGGAAAATGGTCACAGAGAGTAACCAGGCCACTTTTCAGTTTTCATCAGCCCTTTCTTTTCCCCCCCCTAGGTTAAATTTTTCCAGCATTTGCTCTTTGTATTAACCTTGAAAGCACTTATCACAAAGACTCCAGCTGGGACGCGATAACAGTGCAGCATAGGTGAGAAATTAACTTGCATAATGGTCAACACAGCTACAATCAAGGAGGAAAGAAGATCCTCATCTCCAGCTCTAATTCTAACCAAGCTGTGTGATGGGACTAGGATGTTTTAATACTTTTTGCATTTAAGATACTTTTGTTAAGGATTCACCCTGAAGTTCTTTCCCCATCTAGCAACAATTGAGCGTGCAGGAATAGCTCCAAGCCACTCACACCAGGAGCAAAAAAAACCAAAGGTTTGACACTAGCTGTGATACAGATACACCCATCCCTGCCTGTTACTACGAGATCACAGAGAGCTAAAAATGCACTGCCCCAAATTCTACCTAAGAGAGGGTTTACAAGTAGGAAAAGTGCCCTTAATCCCCCATTGAGGAGGTAGAGTCCAACACTAACCGTGGGTCAGCAACTCCGACCGTGTGCCTTCGCATTGAGAGGTAACGGACCAGAGCCTCAGGTGAGGGTTCTTCCCCTTCATCGCTGTCCAAGTTCATCGTTCCGTCAGTCTGGGCAGGCAGAACATGGGAGATGTTGAAACACAACGTGAGGATCAATCAAAAGGCTTCAACGCAAGTCTCGGAAAAGAACCTGCAGAGGCCATCAAGGAGGGTGCCTCACCTCCACAATTTGGTTTTCAGGGTTGATGAGCTGGACTTGTGGCACGTTGATGTTCATGGTATTGCCTGCCTGTTCTGTCTGCTGATCAGAAGGATCAAAAATCAGTAGACAAGAAACTAGCATCTCTTACAACCCCTTTATAATCATGCTTGGACTAGCACCAATGAACAGACTTAACCACTTGGGAAGAGAGATTACCCTGGAGCTGCTGAAAGTGTTCTTAATTCTTAAGGGATTGCCTCGTTTTCCCTCCCTCTCCTCAATTCTGTTCAGGCAGGGCTAGCTTCTCTCCTCCTTCCCTTACGACCTGGCCTCTCCTAAAGCAAATACTCATTTCTTGGATAGTATCTCAAGTTGAGCATCATGCAGTGGTCACGGTCTGTAAACTTTATTTCCCATCCTGTAAACCTCACGTTGCTTTTTCTGTCACAAGGTTAACTAAGGCTAGATTTTGTCTGAAGAATATTTGGTAAATCCACAGTCACAATTACAGAACCCAAAATACACACAAGGTTCTCAGACACAGCAGATCTTTGTGCTCTTGGCACAATGAGAACACTCGCAATGAAGTCTAAGCTTAACAGGTAAGGGTCTGTCTGGCCTTCCAAGGCTGAAAGAGCATTATAGAAGCAGGATCTACCTGGATGTTAGCAGAGGTGGGGAAGGTGACTGTCCGTGGTATGCTTGGAGACGGGGCAATGCGCAGATTCTTGTGCCTCTTCAGACGGTCACAGAGCAAGCTGTAGATTGCACTGTAGTGATCATAAGCATCAGCTCTTAATGACTAGAAGAAGAAGAGGAAGAAGTGATCAATTCTTTCTATCAGGCAGCAAAACGAGCTCCACGCTGTGCTCAGTTACCAGACACGATTAGCAACAAACAGCTATTTGTTATCCTGCTGCAAGAGGCAGCACCCAGTGGTCAGCTGCAGAGCATTACCTGAATTGTGCGTTCCTTGTCCAGCCCCATTTCTGCCATTGCTAACAACACATCCTCGTTCAGTGGCTCCATCTGCCTCTCTGTCTTCAGGTGCTGACACTCTGCTATCAGCTGTAAGAGCAAAGATACAGACTTCAGTGCTTACATTCCCAAAGGCACAGAGATGAGTCACAGCGTTCCGAAGAACCAATTCACAAGGCTCAGACTGCAAGCTGGCACGAGCTTCGAAGGCTGATGGTACATCAGTTCAAAGGGGAAAAAATATCAAGTAATCAGAGTCAAAGGATGATATGGAAAGCAAGACAAGGGGGACACAGACAAAATGGGAAGGCAGTACACCAGAGCTTGGAACAGGAGCTCCCAAGCAGCTGAAATGAACACCGTGGCAGTCCTGAATGCATTGAACAAGTCCCACTCACACACTGGCTCACTTCAGCTTCTCACCCTATCAAACTCTGCATCGGCTTCCCCAAGCTTCATCCACTTGTGTTTGCAGATCTGGTCCATCGAGAGCCGCTTACTCGGGTCCAAGACCAGCATGTGGCGGATCAGATGTTCACATTCTGCAAGGGAACAGACTGCTGAGTAACCACAGTGAGGAACAAGGCTTCTGCAGCAGGCAGCCTTGTGCCACAAGATCAGGAGCGAGCCTTTCCCTCAGAGCAACTTCTCTGTAGGAAGTCAAATGCAGCAAAAACACCGCTTCCCCTTCTGGACCTCACACCCATTCCATACCACTTAGCTGCAGGAATTTGATGCTGTACGTAGGCAGCTGAGGGGACAAGAGAACACAGCCTCCCCCAGATAGAATGAAAGTGTGATACTCAAAGGGATTGTATTTGTCAATGAATACCCACAGCTTTCTAGCTAAGTACTGGTCTAAATCAGTCAGCACAGGAATAAAAGCCTCTCTCAAGACACCTCAGTAGCTGCTGCCACCCCAGCACAGGAGCATCTCTCCATTTTGAAGCTGCAAAGAGCAATGGCAGCATCAGCTCTCAGTGCCAAGCTCCCAGTGCAGCCCCTATAGATGAGATCATCCTAACTCAGAGCCTGTTTCTACTGGCTGTACAGTTTTCCAAATCTGATCTGAAACCACTTTCGGAGCAAATTTTTACTGCCAATACAGACATAAGTCAGCATGCTTCCTTTACACTTACCTCATTCAGGATTTCCCCACGCTAGGGAGGAAGGCAGCCAGGCCACAGTACGCTTGTGCTGTCTGCCAGCACCCCTAGGTGGCATGCTGTCACCCTGTCCCTGCTTGCCTTGCCCTGCACCATCCAAGGGATGCAACCAACTTGTGGGGCTGAAGGGCAAAACACAGCTGCCAGGGCTTGGGCTCCTGCAGGAACACCTCTCCCAGGCAGCTGCCACAATGAAATGTGCCTTTTTTGCCCTCCGTGAAATTTTCCACTCAAAGGTATCATAAATGCGAGCTGCTCTTAAGTGAGCTTGGTTTTATCTGACAATTCATCACATCACGTTTTTCAGAAACAAGATTTATTACTCCAGCATTCAGAAACAGGACATGGACATTCACTTGTGGTGGGGCTACTGCAGGAAATGAATGTGCCATAATGCTGTAAAAAGCTTCTTGTCTAAAGCAGATACAGTGAAAGCTTCTATATTCCTACATCACTACTCCACTTTTAGCTTTCACACTTCCCAGAATTTACTAAGAATGTATCTTTGCTGATGTTCTGCTACAGCTTGCAGCTACGTACACATGGAAGTCAAGATTTTTAAGTATGAACGTTCGAGTTTCTAAATTCTAGATTCAAAATTCGCTTTTGCTCCCATTACAACCTGCTATCCATCCAATATGCTTCCTGGCAAACCACTTACCTGACATCAATCAGCGGTACATTAAAATCTAAGTGTTTCCAAGAATCTGTAAGCAGAGATGTGACTCAAAGCACTGCAGGCACGCAGCCTTACCTGTGGACATGAAGAATGGAATGCGAAACTTCCCGCTGAGCACCCTGGCACGCAGATTCTGCAGCGTGCTCCCATCAAAGGGCAGAGCACCACAGACCAACACGTACAGCACCACGCCGAGACTCTGCGTCACACAAAGGGCAGTCAGCAACAAGCCGTGGTTCACAGCAATAAGCATTCTTTAAATGAAAAGATCAATAACAAAGAAAGAGCAAATCCTTGGAAAGGACCTTGTGACATCTCAGCCTTGGGCCAGCCTAGGTTCTCCTTTAAACTTCTGGCCTAACTCAAACTTCCTTCTGAGCCTTGAAGTGCATGACTACACAAGCCAAGAGCCCAAGTATTTCTTTGGACACCCTTCCTTTTTTTCCTTTTCTTGTTCTAAGTACTCAGGAAGCAAAGCCAAAAATGAGATCCGAGTCAAAAAGGTTCATCACATACCCAAATGTCAACCTTGGGCCCATCGTATTCCTTCCCCTCGAAGAGCTCCGGGGCAGCATAGGGAGGACTCCCACACCACGTTTTTAGCAGCTGGCCGGGTGTGAAGATGTTACTGAACCCAAAGTCTGAAAGAACAAAGAGAACGGCTTGGTGGGACATGATCCAGCACAACTGCTGTAAACAAATGGTGTTTACATTATTTGCTGTGCCTAGTGAAGTCACACATAAGTCACATACAGGTCATATAAGCTATTCAGGCTGAGGGAGCTGGGCTTGTTCAGGCTGGATAAGAGAAGGTTGCAGGGTGACCTCAGTGCAGCCTTTCAGTACCTAAAGGGAGCCTACAAACAGGAGGGGAGCCAGCTCTTTGGAAGGGTAGATAACAGCAGGACAAGGGGAAATGGTTTGAAGTTGAGGGAAGATTGAGGTTGGATGTCAAGGAGAAGTTCTTTAGTATGAGAGCAGTGAGGTGCTGGAACAGCTGCCCAGAGAGGCTGTGGATGCCCCATCCACTCCTGGAGGCGTTCAAGGCCAGGTTGGTTGGGGCCCTGGGCAGCCTGGGCTGGTATTAAATGGGGAGGTTGGTGGCCCTGCATGCAGCAGGGGGTTGGAGATTCGTGATCCAATCCAAGCCATTCTATGATTCTATGACATACCCACTTCATATAGGATAAGTTGACCCTATTTACACAACCTGCTCCAAAACACCCTGAGTTGGGCCTGTTTCACATACTACAGCTATACTGCTTTTGCTTATGAGAGCACAAAGATGCAAAAGGTTTGCTCTTCACTTTTCAAACATGATTTCCACACCGGAGTTGAGAAATTAGTGATCAGACCAGCCAGGGATGCTGCAAGGTGAATGCTTTGGAAGGAGGCCTCCAGGTTATATTCAAGAGACCACACATACATCTAGGCACTAATTTCCAACCCTCAGCTCCTCTGATGACAAGTTTCACAACTCCATTAGGACCAGGGCAGTTGCCAGAACAGAGTGCAGACAAAGGGAAAAAGAACTGCAAATCAAGTTATTTTCCAGAAAGCGCTACATGGAACTGGAAACTTCAGTTCCGGTGGGCAGCTCTACCAACCAACTCAAGTCATTCACCCACAGCAAATACTAAATCCTGAAACAGAAATTAAAAGAAAGGTCTTAATCTTACAGGCAGTCAGCTGTAAGCTTATGTGGGCATTAAAGGCATTTTCTGCTAATTAACCTGTCACTCCTGGCACACAGCTGAGACTTGTGCTGGAGGAGCAAAGAAACGACTGTCTGCATTCAAGAGAGGTGTTCTTTTTCCTTATAAAAATAAGGAATCCTTTCTTTTCTTTTGGTCTCGGGTGAATAAAAGCAAATCCATGGTCAGAGAGGGGTTTCCGTGTCCCATGGACAGGGCCCTAAAGCAGTTCCTATCAGAAGGAGCTATACCACAGCTATTTGCAGACTGCTTTGCCTGTTTTTTTTCTGCTACAAGTGTGCCAGCAGGAGGGCGAGTGACACTAATGCATGTGGATGGGGACCCACAGCAACAAGGACACATTTCAAAGCGTTTCCCTTTGAGCAGCAGATCCTCATGGCAGAGAAATCCTGGAACAAAACAAGGCAAGCTGGAAATTGCAAATTCAGACCAATCAAACCAAAACCCACCACAGCCAGAACTGATGGTACAGGTAGCAACAAAACGTTCATGAAGAGCTTCATGCTGTGTCTGATTTCATTGCTGTTCCTAACTGCAGCATTGCTGGAATAACGTGGAACTGACATGGCTCACCTGTCACCAGAACACAACATCCCTTTGTCCCCTCATTTCTTGAAATAAATATACACTCATCTTAAACATTCATCTCCATTTAGTCTGCTTGCTTCTCCTTACTGCCTTCTGCCCATGCTTCAGAAGATAAGGAACTCATCATGCGTTCTTCAGCCACCACTGAAGGTTTGCCCTCCTAAACCACAGAGAACTGCGAGTTTGCCCTACAACATTTGATGTCACCCTGCTGAAAGGAATTCAGCCATCACCTTTTGGACAAAGAAACCTTCCCACCAGCACCTACAGCTTCACAGAGCAAACCCTCTGTGCAGGGTGCTCAGCACTCCCAGCTGGTAGGCAATAAATGGCTGCTTTGTGCTCCTGCTCCTGCCTGCAGCCTCCGTTTCCCTGCATGATTTTCCATGACCTAATTCCAGGTGACTACTTTCCTCTCCTTCAGAGAACTTCAGCAGAAACCAGCACAGCACCTCAGCACAGCTGGGTACAGCTGGCTGCAGCAGGGCACAGTTGACACGACTGCCAACTCCAAGCCACCAGGTTACAGCCAGCTTGTCCTCCCATCCTCACAGGGGGCAAAACTCTCACAGAGAGGCTATTTGTGCTTGCAGAGACCCCCACAGAGCAGTGTGTTCCTTCTGAACCGTCTGGAGGACAGGCAACGTGGTGCAGACCTCTGCTCAGAACAGAGCACAGTGACTGCAAAGACATTGCAGTATCAAAACCAGGAGGTTTTGACTGGAGGAAATGGGATAATCTCCATTTCCAAAGCACAAGGAAAGATGACTTTAGGCAGACAAATTTGAGGGACATAGCAGACAGCTGCACAATTGTCTTTTCCACCTCAGTAAGCTTTGATTTACTGTCTCACTTTTACAGTGGGATTTTTAACAAGTGTCTGAGCTATGATTGCCAGAACAAGCAATAAAATCTGCAGCACTAAATTAATTTCCATCTCCTAGTGGCAAAGCATTGATAGTCAAGTTTATCTGTAAACTCGTGCAAGAAGACACTGGGGTTTTGGTACTTCCCAATTCAGTGATATTTTGAACAAATTGTTCTGGTTTACTTTTATTCATCCTTTTCTGCAGTGAGTGGACTTCACTCCTCTTCTGTGCTGGGTTGAAATTAGCCCCCAGATTCAGTTGTTTTCCATTGAAAGTGGGGAGGAGATGGTCAAGGAGCAGTTCTGCAGATGCCTCCTTTGGGAGACCAGGATGCTGAAAGGTGCTGAAGCAGCAGCTCCTGGAAGCATCTGCTCCAGGATGGCAGAAAGGAAAGGTTCTGGTTGCAGGGAGCTGAGCTGACCCCTATGGGAGCTGTGGTCACGTCTGCTCCATGCGGAGCTTGGGGCTGGAAGCGTTCCTTTGGGAGCCACCAATGTCCAATGAACTGCAGCCAAGTGAGGTGGAAATGCACACCTAAAGCTCCCCCACCCCACCAAGGTAGGGGGGAGGATTTGGAAATATCAAAGCAGCAGCAAAAACAAACAAACAAACAAACAAACAAAAAAGCAACAAAAAAGAGCAAAAAAACAAAATCTCCCAAACCCCAAAGGAAACAGAGAGATTGAAATAAATGCTCTTACAAACAATGACAAGTCACCCCAGTCTAGAGACGCAGCAAATCCAAACACTGCGGAGCTGGGGAGCAGCCAGGTCCCTTTCCACAAACAGAGCAAAGGGAAAAGGGTGCTTTTGGGGGACAAACTCAAATCTCCTGGTGATGCAATGCAGGGAAAATACCTAAAAGCCATCTCTGCACTATAACACACAGGGTCCAGTCCCTCCCGTCACCCCAGAGCAGAGCCCAGGGAGCTGCTGCTGGGCTGTGCACGAGGACTTTTATCCTCTGAAGGCGACGCAGCGAGCAGGCTCTTGCAAACAAATGCAAAGCAATGCATAGATCAGATTCCTGTCTGAAATCATATCCTAGGGAGGCCTGGGTATTTAGCAATAATCTCAACTCCTGGCTGAACTCTCTGACTGGGAGCACAAGGGAGCACAGTGCCAGCAGCTACTGACTCAGACTGCGAAGGTACACAGAAGCAAAGGCATCCATGGGAAAACGAGAACTGGGGTCACAGCGCTCGTATTGTACTGTTTATGGAAAAGCTGCACAGTTACAATCAATCAATCAAAATAAAAAAAAAGCCATGCTTCTAGTTACCACCAAGCAGAAGCAGCAGCATCTGCCTGCTTCTTTATTACAAGCTCAGCTCCTTAACTAACACTGAGTAAAAGTCACGCAGAGCTGCAAACGCAGGTGAAAAAGACCAACAGTGTTGTGCTAGGTAATCTGCACGGCAACCAGAAGGGTCTGAAAAATGCGAGCAGTTTGCCAAACAGAGCCCCCATCAGGCACGCTGGTTCAGCTGGTTGAAGCTACAGATATATCAAGTGTGTTATTGAAGAGGCCAGAGTTTGACAGCATTAACAGGCTTGGCAGCAAAAGCTTTGCTGATCCTCCACCCTGCAAAACAAGGTTCTGTACATGTCTGCAGTATTTATTCTGGAAGGTCGACAGTGAAAGCAATCACTTGCTATCGCATCTTTTTTCTTTTTTTGCTCTTGAAACAATGGAAGCTCTGGTGTCAAGCTGCAATTGATGAGTTATAGGGACAAAACTTAATACTCGGAAAATCCTATACCATAAATCAGCTTTTCCAAGCTACTATTCAAATCTGCTCCATCTTCTTGCCAAGAAAAACACTGCCACTACCAGGGTGGGAAATACCTTCTGGAGACCATTCTGGGAGCAGAGATTTGGAAAGAAAATAGTTTCCACCTTCCCCAGATAAATAGCCTCCATGATTTTCAGGCACTCACTGAACTTGGTGTGCTCACGTGGCCGTTCCTTTACGAAATGCAGCTGCACTCCAGTTTCTTCCAGGTTTAGTTTTCAAGTTGTTTTTTACCTCTCCCGTTTGCAGGGAACTCCTCCTCCCATCCACACAGATGAGATTTTACCCCTTGGACACACGATGGCCTCAGATCATGAGTGTTTGCACACAGCACATACTGTGCTGCTTACATACAGACCCTGAGCAGACTTTCTGCCATACCCAAGACTTCTGTATTAAGTTACAATCTTAGGCACCTCTGTTTTTTTAATTCATGTTACAAACCCTTGTAAAAGCTGACGAGCTCTCAGAGGAAGCCTGTTAAGACAGGGCGGGGGTAACAAAGAGCTTTCCAAAAACACTCTGATATCTGTTAGTCTCTAGTAGAATTAAACATAAGTATTGGCTGTTCCAGAGCAAAAGCCCACAAAATGAGATGACCAGGGCAGTACTAAATCCTCTTGTTTCAAGCAGTTACTACATAATCCCACAAAGCTCAATGAAGTCAGGTCTAGTTAGTACATCCTCACGTGCAAGAGGAACAGACCGGCAGGGTGCCAGGCCAGCACACAAACTGCCCGAGCTGTGGCTCTCTGAAAGGACAGTTAGCAAAAGAATCACAAAATGTGTTGGGTTGGAAGGGGCTTCAAGAACATCCAGTTCCAGCCCCCTGCTATAGGCAGGGACGCCTCCCTCCAGACCAGGCTGCTCACAACCCCCATCCAGCCTGGCTTTGAATGCCTCCATGGAGGGGAGATTCACTACCTTGCTGGGCAACCTGTCCACTGCCTCACCACCACCCTCATAGTAAAGAATTTCTTTCTAATACCTAGCCTAAATCGAAGACAATCCAAAAAAGAAGCCTCCAAACACCAGCAAAACACTGGGGGCAGACTGAAGGGGCCTGGTTTTCAGCTTCAGCTTCTGAAATGAACAACATTCCCAAGTCACCAGGGCTATTTTCTTACCCTGGCAAGACAGTGAAATTATTCCAAGATTGCTTTTTCCCCTTAGGCTTCTGTACCACTAATTTTGTTATACTTACTTTTCCATTCTTTCTCTCTCACCTGGCCTGACCTGCTTTGAAGAAATCCTAACCTGGCAACAGCTCTCAAAACAAGGTCAGTTTCTTTATTTGTCTTGGCCATTACCCGGTGTATTGAAACACTGCAGTATCTACAGGTGCATATTTGCCTATGAAGCCAAACCTGCTTTAAAAAAAAAAAAATTATTTTGCAGTTCTTGAAGGGAGATATAAATCTTCTGGCTACAACCTGCCAGTTCCAGCTCTGGGCAGCAGGCCACAGAGAAATCCAAAGCTTCCTTTAGCTGCACTGCATTTCCTTCTTTCTGAATACCTGGAAGCAGCCAATGCCTACATTTATTAACTTCTGAAAGCAGCTGCTTTCCTCCCACACTGTAGTCTTAGCTCACCTGCTATTTTGATGTTAAGGTTAGCATCCAGAAGAAGATTTTCTGCTTTGAGATCTCTGTGGACTATGTTACGGCAGTGACAGAAGTTGACAGCAGCCACGATTTGCTTGAACTTTCTCCGAGCTTCCTTCTCCGCCATGCGCCCGTGGGCCACCAGGTGATCTGTGATGGACAAAGCAGAGAACAGAGCACTTACTGACACAGGGAGCTGGGAAACCACAAGTTGGCTTTGTGAGAAGCCCAAGGTCTCAAAGTCTGCTTCTACACCAAAATAAAAACACAGCTTTTTCACTCTTTTCCTTCGCTTTCTCCGCAGTTCAGGCCTGCCCCACTCCAGCACTTTGAACACCTGCCCAGGATCCTGCTGCTGGGGGGCACAGCACTCCACAAGGCAGCCTTGGCCAAGGCCCAGCCTCAATGCTGAGACACACGAGCACCCACTGCAAGTGCTACAGCTCGGAGCCAAAGTTGTTTCAGAAGCATCTTTGGGGACGCAATGAAGAAAATTGTCCCCCATGCTTCAAAATATGCACAGAAATTCCCAATCTCTGGATATCTGGTGTAAAAATACATTTGGAATATTGAACACACTTTATTATGAAAATGGAGCTTACCTCTATTAAGAAAACCTGAATGCTCTCAAGAATTTCACTGAAAAATCTACCACCCGAAGGCAGTGTCTGTGGCCAGACAGGCTTCCTTCAGAAGCTATTATTGCAAACACGGACAGAAGAAGGCTCCAGTTGACCAGAGATCACAAAGGCAGGTATCCAACAGCAACAAGCCTTAAATCAATCCGCTTACAGCTGGAAAGCACCAGGCTTACTGAAACCACTAATCATTCTGCCCTGTAAGTCAGGGCAAACAGGACGGAGATGGGCAGTAAAACGTGGCAGAGAACAGGAGAGACAAAAGCGTGGTCCTGAGCATCACAGAACAGGAACACAGCTCTGCCAGGAAAAGGAATTGGCAATTAAGGAGTTGAAGGCAGCTCCACAAGGCGCCTTCCCTCGGTTCTGTCTGTGCCCACACGCCACGTGGCATGCAGGAAGGTAACCTGGATGGGTTCCTGAGCCTGGGTGGCTCAGAAAGGAATCACTGGGGACACAGATACTTCTTGCACCACTTGAGCTCTGTCTCAAAAGAACAAAAAAAAAGGCAAGCAGGAAGATTCACAATGTCCCAAAACCAGGCCACAGCCAGCAGCCCACTGTAATGATGCTCCAAGAGCAAAGTGAGGGCAGGACATAAGGAACGAATGCCCAGCCTCTCTCCTCACCCACTTCAAGAGGCCCTTCTGCTTAGGCTGACCCCAACACCTCTCAGCCAAAACCAGCTTGAAGGGATTTCACTTCACCCCATAAACTCTGCTCAAACTGGAGGGCTCAATTGAAATATTTGTTCTTGAAAATCATACAAATAAATCACTTCTGAAGGTTTCTCACCAGGTGGTTGTATTCTTCCCAGCCACCCATTAATTAAAATACCTGCGACATAATTGACTTGCAGTAAATACTAATTACTGAGACACATGAAAGCAGTTGTGCCTGCTTCTGACTGAAGAGCAGCCTACTTCTCTGTGCTTGTACTGCTGTTGTGCAACAGAGTGAAGCTGGCTTTCCAAAACCTGTCAGATTCATTTTACTCACTGGATAAACTTATTCTATGAGCAAACGTGAATCAGGGTTGAGGAAAGGAGTCCACCACCAATGCCAGTGTGGCCCTTACCACCCTGCTAGATAGCATCACTTACTCTCATACAGTCCCACTGTATTTCACCAAGTCCTCTGCATGGTCACACACTGTGTGCCCAGAAGAGCAATGACAGGGACAAGCACAGTTAAGAAAGGGACTGCTCCAACTCCAGCATCACTGCTGATTAATAGATAGCTCAGCCCTAAACAAGTCAAGGTCACATTTGTAATCCTCTCGAGTCTGGGAACACAGCCTGCTGATGCAGTAAACGCTCTTAAAACCAAGTGCAAAGTTCCCATCTCTCAACATCTCTGAAATCATTCAAAGACATTCTCCTACAGGCAAAAATCAAACCCAGCTACTGCAGCAGGAGCGCTTCTACAAGGCTCTCTGATGCGTATTTTTGCCCAGCAGAGGCTCAGACAAAATTGAAAACAATCATGATGTATAGAAGTACACAGCTGGAGCTGCCCTTCACATCCAGGAGAGGAAAACTGTTCCTATTTCAGCACAGAACCAGCAGAGCCAACGGGTTCCTGCACAGTCAGCTCGGAGGGTCTGGGCAGATCCTGGTTCTGGGCGCTGCCCTGGGCTCAGCCCTGCTGCCATCAGGTGCTACAGGCTCCCTGCCAGCTGCTCTGTCCACTTGGTCTGAAAACGCTGCATCCCCATTATCAGTGCTGCTTAGGCTGCAAAAAAGTCCTTTTAGGTTAGACATGAAATTCCACATTTAACGAAGAAACCCGCAGCATGGGCCCGTCCCCGAGCTCCGCACGTAGGCGCAGCATTCGAAGCACGCTGACATTTCTGCACAAGCTCCAGAGGAAGGAGAGGAACAATGAAGCTACAGAATACTCTGCATACCACCAAGGGCAACTGTATGCCAAAATTAACCATTGCAAGCTTAGTCTGCACAAACCCCTTCTGCAAAGAGGGTGTAGTGGTGGCCGCGGGCTCAGCCGGAGTGCTGACCTCAGGCACACCAGAGCCAGGAGCTGCTGGCTCCTATGCACCAAATGCTTCTGCCACCGTGTCCTCCTGGAGCTGAAAAGGTGCATGGAGTTGATCCTCTGAGTGTTTTCTGTACAGGAAGCAACACGTGATTTGATTTCACAGTTTTAAAAAACAAACCAGTTTTTCTCCAGATTTCTATGAAGGACCCGATGCCAGTCTCTGCATTGGAAAAACAAAACAAAACTAAACAGTGGAAGCCTATGGTAGAGAAAACAAAGCTTATGAGAAACCACTTGGTGACCATGTGGTCTCAGCAGCAGCCTGGCTGAGCAGCAAGGCCAGGGCTCACCTGTAGGCAGCGCATCCCCAGCACCCCAGGGCAGTGCCCACTCCCACCAACCTCAGCCCTGTTCTGGGCAGTGGAGACCAGGGATGCCTTACAGCATTCATGCTAAGCAGCAAAAATCAGACAGGCTGTTCTATTTGACCTCAGAAAAAATAAAAAAAGACACTTGAGAGACCAGGACAAAGAGCATCCTATGTTTAAATGGTGAGGTTCATTTGTTCATGATGTCAAACCGTCAACCCAGCAGCACGCAAATCACACATAGGGACAGAAATGACAGTTTAGATGTTGCTGCTTAAGTCCATGGTGAAAGCAGGAGCAAGTCTTCTCCCCAGTCCCCACACAGTGAGGTGCAAACAAAGTGAATTATCAGAATGCTTTCCAGTAACAGATGAATCAAGGACACTTACGGCACTGTGTGACTGCTAGAGGAGTTATCAGCCCTGCCACAGCCCTTGTACTGGAAATTCAGATAAAGGAGCTGTAAAGCTCTCAGGTGCTAGCTGGGGAGAGCCTGCAGGGCTCAGAATGACAAGGGACAAGAGAGGCAAGCATCCAGCACTGACTGCTGTGCTCACACAGCAGCCGCTGGGACAAAACTGCCACTCGTTCAGCTGAAAGTTTCACCCTGTGTTACTGCCTGTGGAACATTGGCAGCTGTAAAGCCCAGTTTAAGCCTTCAGTGGTCTTGTAAAGCATCAAAGGGAAACAACTTAGATTTGCTTCAAATGAACCTGAAGCTCACAGTGCTGCAATGACGTAACTCAGATCTATGAGGCACTCAGGTTTACTTTGAGCGTTCAACGCACAGAAAATCAAGGCCATTTCACAGACGTTAAGAGAGAAGAATGAGATGAAGGACAAAGAACACACATGTTCAATACAGGGGACATATCCCATGCCCAGGAGGTGGCAGATAATCCAATGAAAACAGGCATTTTTCTCCCACGTACCCTTGACACTGGAGCACACACTGCCAAACCCTGTGAGGATGCGAGCTGGTGCTGTTCTGATTTGTTGGCCATGCAGTGAGAGCTGAGCTCGAGGGCTCTTCAGGCTGCACAATGCCTCACCAGGCCCACCTACCCACTGACCTTGGCAGCCCACACTGCAGGGAGACTGGGCAACACGAGGATGTGATTCTTCAGTGCTAGAGATGCTGAAGACTGCAAGGCAACATTTCCAAAATGGGCTGCTGCTTCCTCCCAGTAAATTGCTTCCTCTCTTAGAGCAAAATCTTAATGGCTACTCAGGAAACTCTGATTACAGAAACCTGAGACTTTGGTTTTCCTCTCTCTGCTCTAATGCTTCAGGGTGCTGGGCCTCATGCAGGACCTGGAAATGCAAAAAGCCCAGCACGGCCTCACAGCCATGGGTTGGAAAAACACTACAGCTACTGCGTCACTGGCAGTGCTATCTGCTCCCAGCTCTGAATGAGGATAAAATGCTGGGCAGTAAAATGGGAATTAGCCATTCTAATGAGCTGAATTTACTACAGCATAAAATGTTTCAGAAAGCAATTAGATTTTTCACTTCAACTCATGCAGAAGGCTATTTCTGTAACCAGGAGAATTTGTTCCAAGTTTGCATATGAGCTTGCACATAGTTCTGGATTTTAAAAAGGGATGAATTGTCTCTGCCAAATTCAACAGAAGAGGGAGAAAAAGTCAAAAGGAATTCATACTTTCCTGCAATGATCCGCATACAAGTGAAGTCTCATAACCACTGGCAGCGTCTGATACACATTCAGATGATTGTGCTGCAATTATGGCTTGCTGCACAACATCAGATGAGTTTCACAAGCCCTCAGAGCTGCTGAGCGTCCAGCACCATGATTAATGTTTGAGTAAACAACTGGGAGACTCAGCTGGGTGACAGCAAGGTTTCACCACACACCCGTGCCCTGCAAACAGCAGCCACGACTGCCTCTTCCCTCAGCTGTCACCTTCCAAAGGAGGAGGAAGGTGAAGGATGTGGGCCATGTTGAGAAGAAAGTATGGCTGCCATCTAACAATGGTCCTGAAGAACGGTTAGGAGACCGTACCCACCAGAAATCTGCACTTCCCAGCTAAAATTGCCCTATTTTTAATCATTTGGGGGTTCTCTTGTCTCACCAAGGGGTTCATCACAGAACAGCTTCTGTGGTCAAGACATCTCAGGCAAAACCTTGTTAGCATGTAATGGAGTTTAAAATGAATGTAGCTAATATGTGCTAAGATAACATTCAGTATCTTTTATATATATACATATATATTCATGCTTTTGAGAATGAAATACTACAGAACTGCAGGAGCCTATTTGTCTTTGGATGCTATTAACACATGCCAGCATTTGACCTACAGTCAACAAATTCCAGATGACCTGCTGGGAAGCAAAGCCCTCAGCATCCTCTGCAACTGGTCCCTGCTACAACGTATTTAATTTAACCACAGAATAAAAGAGGAGCAGCACCACCTGTCAACCAAACCCAAAGAAGCAGCAGAGGCTGTGGAAGATATTTTTCCATTAAGTTGGTATCATTTATTTTTTTACCCCTTTTGTCAATGGAAAGTTCTCAGGCTGAAGGGCATCTCTCAACTGAAACAAGAGAGCACGGCAGCTATTTTCAGTTTACTGTACTTAAATGAGTGCATTATCTGATTAAAGAATGCAATAAATGTACTTACCAAATATTTCCCCTCCGCTAGCATACTCTGTCACTAGATAAATCATCCTCTCTGTCTCCATAACCTGGACATAAGGACAAAAAAGCCACAGATAAAGGAGACTGCTCATGCAAAAAGAAACACGATAGAGGATTTGCATTCCTTGTCTAACACGTGCCCAGAAAACATAGGGTGGTTTTTGTTTCTTTCTTTTTTTTTTTTTATTTTAATATTGCATATTTTTGTTTCCAGAGCAACAAAATCTTTTATGACTATTGTTATTATAGCCCCTCCCTCCTTTTTTTACCTTCTAAGCCCTACACTTTCAACAAAACATGGCTTTAAACTCAGATTCCTGATAAAAAAAACAATGAAAGGCTCTGAATTCCCAAACCCAGGTTTTAGTAACTTTTATTTAGGATTCTGGGGCAAGAAAAAAAGCATGAAATAATCAATCTGCAAAGAGACAATCCCTAAGTATCTTAAAGTGCCATAATTCTGCAGTGTTTGCTGAAGGCCCCTCAATTTTGGCTATTTGGCAAAAAAAGCTAAACATTAACCTCTCTCACTTCTACTCATTTTAACTCTTTGGAGTCCAAACAATGGCTTACATCCACCAGGCACAGATCAGAAGCAGACTGGTCTCGAACGGACAAGGGTTTGATTCTAAGAAATGGCAAAATCATTACTGAGGATTTAACTTCTCCCTTAGAATGATACACGAGCATCCCATGACAAGGAAATAACCCCTGACTATTTCCCCAGAATTTCAAGTTTCCACATGTCATTGCTTGCCATCAGAGAAGAGAAGCCACAAACAGCAGGTTACTCAACTTAATTAGCCGCTTGCACTGTAATACTTTCCCAAGATAAAGGGCCCTGGACAACGTGTGTGCTTCCCCAAAGAGGAGCTGACTTCCCAGCCAGAGCTGGATGGAAGCTCCCTCCCTTTCCAATTCAGGCTGTGGCTGTGAGCAGATGGCAGGTGGTCCTGCACGAGCCTGGCAGGCAGCAGTCAGCTCTGGGGACTGATAAGGAGCCATTTCCCTACAGCTTCCCAGAAATCAGATTGCAGGCAACAGAAGAGAATTTGAACAGAGCTCTCAAACACTCTTTGGTTGTAAATAACTGTGTGAGGTCTTGAATCAGAAAGATTCAGAGAGGGGATATTTCAGCAATCCATCAGTTTCCAGAATAGCACTGAGCATTTCACCAAGGTGTTGGTCCCTCTTACTTCCCTCCTCCCGCCACTCTGCTCACTTCTGGCCTGCTGCAACTTCCCTGCTGTTCTGTTTGACCATGCTGAATACGTGCGTGAAAAGCAGCACACGTGGGTTTTGTCTCTGGCAATTCTGTTTGCAGAGTAAAAACGCCAAAGAAGCAAAAAGTCTGCAAACATGGGACAAAAGCAGGTGTGCCACAGCTATTGATCACCTTCCAAGAAAGCACAGAACAGATCAGCAAGTCCACAAACCACCGGGGAACTGTGCACAGAGGGAGAGGAGAGCAACACGCTCTCAGTCCTGCCAAAGGATGAGAATTACTCTCTCCCTTCGGCTGAGAAGGGTAGCCCACATCCGGCTTCAACTGGGAAGCTGAAAAGCAGACAATAGCCATAAAGTAATGGCAAAGGGCCAGCCCCCAGCGGAAGTGTGATCTCCCAGAAAAGAGAAGGGTTAGCCACACTTTTTGCCTGTCCCCTTCTCACTGAAGTACTTTGAGACCTTGAAAACATGAAGACTGTCCCAGTACTTCACCTAGGAGAAAGAGGGACAAACCTATGGAACACTGTACAATGTAAAGCTGTAGTGAAGAGGGAGGGAAAGCTCACCGCAGAGTGTTCCTACCTGATATAACCTGATGATATGTGGATGGCAGAGCATCTTCATGATCTGAACTTCTCTAAATATCTTCTTCAGATTCTCTTCATCCAGCTGTGTCTTATCAATTATCTTTATAGCAACCTAGCAGAAGGGGAAAAGTTAAAAAAGAGGTTAATTACCCAATCATATATGTGGAAGAACATTTAAAACAAATACTGCACGTAAGACTACACCGTACTAAACACAGTACTTTGTAGCCCATGCATCGGAGAGCCTGGGAGCTCTGCACAGCCTCACCTGCTGTAAGCTCCAGGAGCTCTGAACACAGAGATGGGGGCAATGAAGGAAAGGGAAAGGCAGCAGGGCAGTGGGCTCTGGTGTTACCCACACCATGGCTGCAGTGGAATGGACGCATGTTAGCAGGGAGGGGACGCCAGGCTGCTAACAAGCCTTGCACACCCTGTGAGCTGCAAACACTACAGTTGCACTGCTGCTTGTAAACCAAACTTCAGCCGCCAACAAACCTCAGTGCAAGACAGAAGCTACATTATATGTTAGTTCAGCTCAAGATTTGTGTGTTGAATTAACATCCACCAGCAAGTTGTTCTGCTTAGACACAGCACTTTCCCTGAGAAAACAGCCACTTTTACACGAGTTCTCCCGGTTGCTTTCCTGGCGTGTGATTTGCAGGACTTTTGTTGCAAGAAGACTGCAGAATCACATAAAGATCAGGGGAAGGGCATTGAAAGCAGCACTGCGGGCACAAGTGCTGATGATGCAGAATCAGAAAGATGTGACACAGGAGCTCCAAGCCCAGTTATGTAAATGCAAGCTTGCAGCAGACTCCAGCATTCACTAGGGATGGGACGAGTGCTTTGCACAGAGGCCAGCTGCAGGCTCTTTCTGCCTTTATTCCACCAGCAGGCACCACCACCACGTCCTGGTCCTGCAGGCATTAGCACACAGCACAACATTCGTGCTGCAGGGAGCAAAGGCGTCCAACCAACTCGCAGTTGTGGCAGCACAGAAACAACACCTATAGAAACAAGACACTCTGAGATACCAGGAAAGCATTATTTGCCTTGCAACCAGACACTTGCCTCAAGGTTTTTCAAAGGCACTACCATAAAGGATGAACATTTTAAAAGAGAACGGTTCGGGCTATTGGCCCTCCTCAACAGGACCACCACCTGCACACCGTCTGCCACAGGAACTGTGTCATCACTGCCCCAGCAGGCTGGGGTTTGGCACTCCTCAGCATGGTAAATTCAAGCAGTACTCCTGAAATCACCACTTCTTCCTCTGTCCAGTCCTTTGCAATACATACAGCAATCTGATCTAGCTGTAGATGTCTCTACTCATTGCAGGGGAGGTGGACTAGGTGGCCTTCATAGGTCCCTTCCAAATCAAACAACTCTATGGTTATCTCGAAAAATCAATTACCTTTGAAGTCAGTCATGATTAAAAGCTTACAGAAGTCCCATTTTCTCCCTCAAACAAGATATTGCTGGTGGAAGGCAGGCCTTAACACCGAATCAGCCTGCAGAAACTGCACCACGTGTGACTGGACCGCATCCAAGCTCCAAACTAATAGCCCTGACCTTCACACCCAGCACAGGTGTTGGCAGCAGGGGAAGCCCGAGTGCACGGGGCCAAGCACAGGGCCCTGCGGCTGCAGATCAGGCATGGGAGCTCTGTGGGGCTTAGGAGCACTCTGCAGAGCTCCCTGCCAGCCCCAGTGAGGAAAGCAGACATGGCCAGCAGCAAGTTGGTCTGGGTTCTGGTGGCATTCCTCCTCCGGTACCAAACCCCAAGAATGGTGCCAAACGATGCTCCAAGAGGCATGGCATATTTGGTGGAGGGAAGGGGGAAACAATACTATCTTGAAGGTCTTTAAAGGAATGATCTGAAGCAAATGAAAATTCAGCTATGTATTTGATGAGAAAATCCGTACCTGAAGAATAGCCGCCCTGCACATGAGCAAAACCCTGAAGAGGCACTATGTACAACAAGCTGCTGTTTTTTTTTCTTTCATTTGAAACACTTAGAGCAGAGGAATCATTCCAGACGTCCAAGTCACCGAGTGTGCTTACTACAGCAAGAACAGAAGCTGTAAAGCAGCCAGGGCTGGCACTCGGCATCAGGAGTAGCTGGCAGCAGCAGGGCTGGAGCCAAGGCACAAGGTGAAGCAGCACAAGCAGCCCCTGCACGCCGCTGCCAGGCACTAACGGGTGGTGATTAACAGGGTGACAAGTTGCTGCCGCGTCCCGGGCTGGCAGCATCCTCCGTGGCCCAGCAGACGTGCAGCAGTGTGCAGCTGTGAGCTGTGCTGCTGGAGGTGCATGACGCCAGGCTCCAAGGACAGCGCTCAGGGGTCGACTGGAAAACTTCAGAGAGTCAGAAGAGGTTTGGGAATGCTCGCATGCCTCTGCCCAAGGACTTGCTTCTTATGAACAAGCTTTTGTAAAGCTAAAACCAATGATGTTTAAAAAAAAACAAATGGTGAGAAGCTTCCTGCAAGAGTGAAGGCAAGATGTCTACCCAGAGACATGAGTCATTTCCAGGCACAAATATTTAAATGAGAATCCACAGGTCTGGAGCACTCCTAAGCTCCTTACTTATTTCACAGCTGTATATTTGCTCAAAGGAAATCTCATTTCCCAGCTTAATTATCTGAGCTGAGCTGACACTTCTGGCCAAGTTCAAGGTAGGCAGAGCATGCGAAGGGATGTAACTTGGACAGTGAGCCCAAGTGGAACAGAATGGAATTTCCTTGCCCCTCTCTGATAGCGCAGGGCAGTGCTGCCATCACATACACCTGTGTGGGGAGGTACACGAAGGCACTGCCATCTTAGAGACCTGCTACTTCCCCATCAGATGTGTAGCCCTTGAGTAAACCTGGGTCTGTCCTCCAAAGTGAGAAAGAGGAGAGGCCTGGCACTTCCGAAGGATTTTCTTCCAAACGTATTCATTGAATTTAAATGCCTCCAGCGACAGAGATAACATAAAAGGTAAAAGTCTCCTGGAAAAGCCTGGGGAAAGCACCTCGTGCTCCAGTTTCAGGAAATTCAAGGCTTCCTCACCAGGCACGGGTGGAAGTAGGAAATCCCCTCGGTGCTCCTTGCAGAGGGACCGTGCAGGGAGTGCCAGGGCTGGGGGCTGGTGGAAGAACTGTGTGGAGTTTGTGTCAGATGCTTGGAAGCCTTTTTTCCAGAGTGAAGGAGTGCTTAAACAAAACAAAACAGTCTGAGTTGGTTTCTCCTCTCCTGCATTTCCCAGCTGGCTATTATCCTCCCTCCCTCGAAAGATGACTTGGCTGATGTGAGCCCTCCTTTTTGTTGAAATCCCAAGATGACTCCATCAGAAGATCAGCAGTGCACAAAGGATGAGGTTCAATCACTCACCTGGATGTAAACACCTGCCCACGCTCCAACCGACCCCGCAGGTTATCCAGCCCTGGAATCAGGGCCACAAGTCCTGCGCCCTTACACAGCACAGGCACTTCTTAGGAGCTGCATAATAATAGTGCCCAAGCAGGTGTGTAACTATTTTCTCCATAAAACATGGCTTGGGATTCCTTCCAGTACTTGAAGGGAGCATATAAACAGGTGGGGGAATGGCCGTTTACAAGGGTGGGTAGTGATAGGACAAGGGGAATGGTTTTAAACTGAGGCAGGGGAGGTTTAGGTTGGATATGAGGAGGAAGTTTTTCACATACAGGGTGGTGAGGCACTGGAACAGGTTGCCCAAGGAGGCTGTGGATGCCCCATCCCTGCAGGCATTCAAGGCCAGGTTGGATGTGGCTCTGGGCAGCCTGGGCTGCTGGTTGGCGACCTGCACACAGCAGGGGGTTGGAACTGGATGAGCACTGTGCTCCTTTTCAACCCAGGCCATTCAATGATTCTAGGATTCCTGATCCTTTTGCTAATGCTTTCTTACCAGTCTTCTAATGGCACTGTTTAGGAGCAGACGGATCACGGCAGGCACCAGCACCCTCCACGTCCATTAGCACAGCACACTCAGCGGGGTCCCTGTCCCACTGGGACAGGAGAAATGCTGCTGGGGTCAGTGCTCTGGGCTTGGCAGAGGGCTGCAATGCACCTCGAGGAGGACGACAGCCCATTGCTCATGCCAAGCAGTGTCTGAAGGAGCCAGGTGGCTGCTTCACCCCTCTCCTCCCCTCTGCCAGGCGTCACTGCTACCAGCTAAGACCCAGACAAATGTTCCCATCACTCACAAGACAATTCCCATCAATTACCGCCCTCGTTGGCAGCTTCAGCAACAAGCAGATCCGTGTCAATGACGCACGGCAGGCTGGCTGCTGGGGATGAGCCTGCCGTGGGATGCAGGGCTGAAGGCAGGGCCCTGACAGTGCCCACAGCTGCTGCAGCCCAAAGCACACCTCTCACCACCCAGAACCAAGGGAGAAGTGCTGGCAGATGGGTTTCCCGCTCCAGTCAAGGGGAACGCTGACATTTATGGCGCTATGGCTCTGCAAAAGGAACAAATCTCTTGAAGCACTGAGACTCAACCCAATTAAGGGCACTCCCTCATCCCTACAAATTCCACATAAAAATACAGAGAGGAAAGAGCAAGGCTAAACATCATTAAATAAAGCACAAGTTAAGCTACAACTAAAAGTGGAAGAAAACCATAATCTAATTTCTTAAACAATGAAATGCTCTTTAAAAAGTAGTCTGAAAAATTAACTGTTCTTTTATCAAAAGTTAATGAAGCTTATGGGCAGCAGGATACATGCCAGCTCTGGGGCATGCATGCTGCTACCAATTAACAAAATGTTCCCTCCACTTCTAAACATTTCATTTTCTTCCTTCTCAGAGCCAACTAACACACCAGGAGTTCGAGGGACAAATTGTTACTTGGAAGAAAAGGTAAGTTCCTAAAAACAACAATCCATAAAGAAAAGGTGAGGCTTTCAAGCTGATGACTGTGAGGCTGCGCCTCTGGGACAGAGGGTTTGGCCATGGCATCTCCACGCTTCTCCTTGCCTGCTGTGCTCCAGCTGAACACTGCTCCCTGTTTTCCCGATTCTGAAGCTGTGTATGGTGGGGGCCAGCCAACCTGCTCTTAATAGGAGACTGCAGTAAGGAAGTGGGTTTTAAAAGCAGCCGCGTGTACAA